TGACAGAAACCTCTACAACTATATGCCCTGAATGTTAAACATGTTGCCTGTGGGCCAAGAGTGTTTCATTCATAAATCATTCATAAGACAAACTAGTTTTTTTAAAAGACCAAAAAGGTACTGCTACTTCTGTGTGGTGACGTAATGCTAGCACCACTTTATGGGAGTGAACAGATTCACGAAATACAATAGTGTAGCCAACTTTCAAAAACTCTTTTATGAAGTTTTTATTCTTTTTGTAGATCCAATTTGAGCTGTACATTTTACAGTTTCTCATTGTCTTTTTATTTATACTAGTGCTGCCAGCGTTAATCTCGCTAACATGACGTTAACGCCATAACCGCATTAACACGGCAAATCTCCATTAACGTTAAATAAACCTGAATTGAATACAATAAATCTCTGCTTGGGCTGGTCCCTTCTTTTTATTTTTTAAATATAATTATGTTATTCTCTTCCACAGGACTTTATTAAACTAGCACTGTAACAACTAGGCAGGATTTATAGTCCCACAAATGTACCTATCCGTGTACAATTTTTAGTCACACAGAGAGGGGAGAAGAGCTCTCACGAGACGTGCTGCAGGGTTCGAAGATCCTGCCTGTATGTTGCTGGAAACGGATGACTTATGTGACTGGCTATTGACAGCTGGTTGACAAGTGCGCCGGAATACAGAACACAGGGGTTCATGGGAAACGGAGAACAGTAAATAAACTTCAAAGATCATAAAACAAAGCATGAAAAGCACAGACAATGGCTGGAGTAGGACTTTTAATTGTTTTTAAACACTCAGTTTAACTTCAGCTCTTTGTATCCTACAACTTCGCTCTTTTCTACGGCTGGCTCGCAGAACAGCAACAACACAAGAAAGAGTGGCCTACAGACCGGTTTTAGCACATAACTTGTACACTGCCTCCATCTGACAATAGATTTCACTGCAGATAGATGGGCAGACCCTAGTGTGGAGTAAATGCGCTCGCTTTGCTCGACCATAAAACGAGCATGAGAAGCAAAAGCCACACCCTTGTAACACAGTAATACACATGAATACAAAGCTCCAAATACTGTATGGCATGACTCTAAGGCAACATGTGCTTCACAGAGATAAGTTTATAAATTTGCCATTTTTTTTTTTTTTGCCTCTGTCAGGGACTGCAGGTTTCACATTTAATGCAAATTAAATCAAATTTTATATATAAATGAAATACATTTTTAAAAATTGTTGGACATGAAAGCTTAAAGGTAGTTAAGATTGCTCTTG